TTCCATCCACACATACTCCGCCAGCGTGCATACTGGCGCCCACCCCGGAGTCAGTTGCTGATGTTGATGTGGATGATTCGATTTCCCAAGCAGAGCCTTCTCCCGCTGATCAACAGAATCTTACTTGGAAGTTTCTTGGTTTCAACAAAGGCAGCTTTGTGTGTCTAGATTCCCCAAGCCTCCATCAGGATTTCCCAGCCTCATGGACTGTGCAAAGAAATTGTATTTTAGAATGTTTGTTTCACACCCCCGTTGGCAAACTTAACATGCACATGTGTTCGGCCTAGGATGTATCGCTACTTTAAGCCCAAAGCTGGCGGGAAGCTGAAGTGCAGCCCAGCAGCCCTCAAGATGTGGCAAGATCCGGCACAGCGCAACCAAGAAGCAATTGGTTTGGTTTTAGACGTTTACTTTGTCCACAATGACACTAGCTATGATGCAGACATTGACTCACCAATTACATCGACGCAACATGTTGATGGACAGTTGACAGTTTCTTACATTGTACTCGAAGTCATGAAACCAAGGTGGAGAGCTCAAGAAAATGTTCTTGGAGCACGGGAGCTTTCAGTTGTTGGAGCTGGCCATCAAGAAGCGGTCCACTTTGTCGAACAGTCGCAGCAAGCAAGGTGGGCGGTTCACCAAACTCAAGTTGGAGAAAAATGAGGCTTACTCGAAGAAGCTTAGCATATCTTTCAACAGAAAACTTGGTGTCAATTTTATGGTGATATTTCAGGTAGAATTTATCTATCCTACTGATAAAAAATACACCTGGCAATATAGCAAAGACAAATGATCTCAAGTTGTTTCACTATTTCTATAGAACGGTTCTTTAATGCTTGTTCTTTGTGCTATGCTCGTTCACGCCTAGGAATATGATCGCGAAGGCATGGCAGTGGGCGAAGGCGCAGGGCAAGCTTCGAGTCAACGAGGTTCATGGTGAGGAAGAGATCTACATCGTTGCAAACGAGACTTTTGATGTCACCACCAATGAAACTGAGGAGGCTGAACAGAGTGGAGCGATCGAGGTGCAGGAGCGCACCCGGCGCACACGCTTTGTTAAACGATGACCCCTATGACCGTGACCCTATGATCACAGCTTGCAAAAGGGAATCCACATTTGACTCAGGAACCCCAAAGCATAGCCACAACTAAAGCGGACATATGGCATCGACTATCGATATTGCGCATTTTTTAAATACACATTGGGCAGGATGATGAAGGCGCTCTTCTGTCTTCGGCACTCCCCAATTTCAACGGATCCGACGCGGCCTTGCTGAATGCTGTGCAGGGCAGTTCGTCTTCAGGGACCTCGGGCTTCACAAATGGGACTCCCCATGCACTTGGAAACACCGGTGGGGTGATGAGTTTCAAGTGCCTCAGCACAAAACAACAGTCAAAAAAACAATTCTTCATTCAGCGGTTCTTTGCTTTGAATGTGATGTTGCCAAAGGCTTTCCTTCCCGAGCTTGACCAGCAACACGAGTCCCTTGCAGATCCTGCCAGCATTCGTGGAAGTACTTGGTAGGAAGATCGATAAGACCAACTCTGAGCTGGACCATAACCGCTAGTGTTGAAAAGCGCATGCATGCAACCCCCAGCATGTATCCTCTAATCATTCTTTCTCCGGAGGATCGGCTTCGGGCAGTGAACACCTCTCAAGCGGTCCTGTCCCTTGGATTACACACCGTTTTTGCAGTGCGAGTCTCACATGGATTCAAGACTTCAGAATGTGGCTCAGGTTGGCCACATCTATGAATCACCAGTTGGAGAAAATGCAAGGGCTGTATGAGAAGCTTGCTGCACTGCTCTCTGAAGCCACAGTGGCTCCAGAGAGCTTGGATAAGTATCTTGGTTTTATAAGTTCACCATTCACCCCATCATGGACGTCATGACCAACCGGCTTCTAGTCTTACTCAGGTCGAAGCGAGATGAGATTCAGTCGTTGTTTGTGCAATGCACCAAGCTGGATGTGGGGATGAACTCTCTCCTTGTCCGGGCGAAGTGCCCTGGCTTAGACATCCACATATCGTAGAAACTAAACAAACCGCGTTTCGTGGCCGGCTGTGTTTCCCTGCCACGCTGAGGCCCATGAGAAGCTCATCATCTTCAGATGCACCTTCATCGGTACCGAAGGCGAAGGCGAAGGTAAAGGCGAAGGCCAAGGCGGAAACGAAGGCAAAATCTCGGCCTCGAAAGTCCAAGGAATCGAAGCCAGAGGAGTAGATGTTCCTTTTTATAATTTACTAGGTACATGTGTTTTGGCTCTAGGCATGATGTGAAAATGGTAACCTTTGGCATGTCTAAGATGGGCCATTGGAAACCAGCGGGATACATCGTGTTTCAGCCTTTTGGACACATTTCGATGGATCAAAGGGATGTCTCCACAGTGAGTGCGGTCCTATCCAATTCGTCAGCGAAGAATCTGATCGATGCTGAAGAAAACAGGTGCGATTGCAATGCCACTCTATAGTACTCGTTTACACAAAACCACCTCCAGGCACGTTAACAACACATGCCAGGTCATCGGAAAGATGCACAGCGAGGTGCCCTATGCAAAGAAACATAGATCTAAACAACACAACATACATTCACACTAAGATGTCGGTCTGAGCCCCATCGAGATGTCATTCAGGTATTGACCCCAGTTCAAGCTCTGATGATCTCGTGGATGATATGATCACCAGTTATTCCAAAGGAGCTACTTGGTCAACTACTTCAAATTGGTGGTTTAAAAAAACCTGCAAAACATCACTTGTTGTGTTGAAAGCTCAGGCAACTGCGAAGGATGTTATGACACGAGTCTTGAAAACGGAACGCATGTTGAAGAAACGTGGATCTTTGGTGGCACTATGCATATCCACGCATGCCATGAAGCTATCTAGTTTTGTGATGCATGCTTCGCCATAAATACCTAAGGATGGCATGATCCCAAAGTATCCGAACTTGCAAATCGAGGTAGATGTGACAAGAACTTGTCCAATTCCAGCCGGAACTTGAATGTTTATATTCACAAGAAAGGAAAGACGCTGCCTGTGCATGTTACACTTGTGGATACCCCAGTGAGGGTGCGGGCCTTCTCTCGTCGGCGGCCACAGGTCACGGTTGAACCTTGGCCCGTCTTGCTTCCAAGCAGTTGGCTGCGAACATGTTTTGGAAACCCGTACAGGGGCTTCTACCTCTTGGGTGGCAAAACGGTGGATGAGGTATCTCTTGCTGAGGAGATGTTTGAAGAGTTTTGGACAAGATACCAACGAGTTGACACCATGATTTCCCCAGCTCAACCTAGAAGAACCATCCCGGTGTTTGTGCACGGAGACGAGGGAAGAGGGTTGGTCAAGAGACCAATCATGGTGGTATCAATCCAGCCGATTATAGGATCTTCTGGTGAAAACACTACGAATAATCGCCGGCATTTGGGCATTGATTTCAACAACATTTTAGCATGTTATGTTGAATTTAGGAGCCGTGTGAGCCTCATGTGATGAGCACTAGTGCATGGGATGAAAAGTCTGAGTGGATCACTACTTTGGGTTGGTGTGTGCTCCTGGTTTTATTTTTTGTCTCTAAGCCAGGGTTGTGCTCTGAGAAATGCCGTGCAATGAGGCATACGTACACGACCCGGATGCTCTACACAGTGCTGCCTTCAGAGCGGTACGCACCGGACTCTGCAAGCTTGCACACTCTGATGGATTCTTTGGTTAAAGACTTGAACCGGGCTGCAGAAGAAGGCATAGAGGCCAGGTGCTGTTCCATACACGTTCCCTACACTTGATGCTGAAACAATTTGTACATTACCCCTTTGGATTTTTTGCTTGTAGTATGTTCTCTCCGTTGAAGGTGTTTTACGCAGGACAGCGACACCGCTGGTTCATGCAGTTTTGTGGGGTCAAAGGCGACTGGCCTTTCCTTCGCTCGTGCTACGCTTTGAAGACTGGATTTTCATCCAAAAGAATATGTCATTTATGTCCAGCTGTTGAGCCTTAGCGGCCTTAGCGCATACATGTGATTGCCAATCAAATTGTGTTCTGGCGTGAGGGTTGCTTGAAGCTGTGTGGAACTTCCGCTAGGATTGGCATGACCTGACTCCCAGTGGTCCAACTCGGCAGTGGCCACAGAATGGAGAAGCAGACAGCCCGTACTGGCCAAGACCTAGGGCTCCCATCCGACAAGTCAAGCCCCATTTGGATTCGCCCCGAGCCATCAAGATTGACGTGGCACACACGTATGCAATTGCAGGTATTGGGAAAGATAGTTTGGCCAGCGCACTTATATTCTTGGCTTGCAGGTGCCACGTCTTTGGACACGCTCGATGGCAGGCTCAACTGGAGCTCGCGTTTGTTGATTTCAGCCACTGGTGCAAAACCACTGGGCATAAATCTACCATCAAGGAGTTCACACCAACTGTGCTAAAGATCACCTCGTTTCCAGGTTTGCATTCCTGTCGACGGACACTGTTTTCAAGAATCTAGGATTGTTGACATTTTGTTTGGTTATGAGGCTTCAGAACTATCCACGTGGATTGGGCAAAGGCAGCGATACTGCAGTTATGGGTGCATGGCTGGACACCGTGCCGTACTTCAAGATTTGACACCAGATAGGGTCCCTGATGCTTGGTGCATGTACTGGTGAACTAAGTGTTGCGGCCTATGGGCGAGTGCTAGTATTATCAGTTTCTGCGCATGGACCCCTGTCTTTCTGAGGAAGAATGCCGTGCCTTGTTCAAGGTGGTCAAGTGGGGTAGTGCAAATGTCAACCTTTTTTTCCGACAAGTCTACAATGGACGGATTTGGCACACGCGAAGAGAAGCTGAAACAGAACTCCAACATGGTTTCAACATGATGGAACCTTGTATGCATGTGTTTGAGAAAACAACAAGGCACCAAACGAAACAGTCATCCCCTTTCTGTAACAAAATGATCCTCGATCCATGGGTTGGCCAGGAAGCCTATGGGGCTGCTGCATCGTTGAGCAAGTCACTTGGGTGGTCTCTTTGGTACATGAGACCGAAGTGCCATATGATGATGCACCTTTTGCCTGGATTATGCAGTAGGTTTGAAACAAGACTTGAAATGATGTAAGTTCGGGGTGCACTTAGGCTGGAACTTCAGTACCAACTAGAAGACCCAGATTCTCACTGGATCTTTTCACTTGCAAGTATCTCACTTATGCATTTGACACTTTATCTCTATCTATGAGATCGTTACACTGTTCTTGTTTCTAAGGCAGCGCGTGTTGGGCTGATGAGGATTTTATCGGGAGAATATCCCGGTCTAGCCGAAAGGTTCATTCAATTTTGGTGGGCACTCGGACCATAACAAAATGTTTGGTCGCCTATAAAGCTGAGTGGCAAAGACTCATCCGACCAATTCCACTTGGTTTCCCGACAGCCAGAGGATGAGACCGAAGCCAGGACAAAGTGTGTGTGCACTCGCATCTGCATGCTAATGGGAAGGGATGGTGGATGTAACATGTCAAAAAACATGCATGTTACAAAACGAGCATTAATGTTCAAACCGAGCACTTTTCTTCTCGAGCGTTTTTTAATGGTTGTTTGATGATCTAGGCCTATCCTTGCTGAACTTCTCAAATGAGCGGTGTCAAAAACCATTCCTAATCTTAAGTCCTACCTAAATTCTTTCATAGAGGTTTATGACGTTGCTCAAGTGGAGAAAAGGCTTTGCGGACAGCAACTGTGGCCCAATGTGTTTGTAGGCGGAAGCTGCCTGTCTTAGGTTAGCATTCCACGAACTGTCCACGAACAGCCTTGGGTTCTGCGAATGTCCCGCGCCTTCCACGATGTTAGTGGAATAGGTTTTTGCAAAACCCTTTCTGTGCATGCCTCTGAACTTGGGCAGTTTTGGCCGCTGCTCAAGTGGTGACAAACTCGCTTTCTTTCCAAAGTCATGTGTTCCGCATCGCCGGATCGCCGGATTGGACATCAATGAAGGCTAAATGGAGGGTGTGTGGAGAAAGGGGG